GCAGGACCTCGGACACGCGCCGAGGGCGGCGGGGGCTGCTGCTCGCGGGGCCGTCGGGGGCTGCAGCAGCCTGGGACGAGGCCGCGGAGCCGCTTCGGGACCGGCTTCGCGGGCGGAAGACGTCCAGGCTGCGCCGTGCCAGGCTGGGCTCCTTGGCTGCGAGGTGGTCGTGGTCGCGGGGGTGCTGAGGGGGCTGGATGTACTCCTGGGTGGTGGTGTCGGAGCGGATGAAGACAAAGTCTGGTGTGTCTAGGTTGTTGGCGTTCCCCTTCTGCCGATGCGGCTCCTCGTCGTCGTCATCCTTCCTCCTCAGCATGTCTCGAAGCCCCATTGTGGTGGTGAGACAGAAACGGCCGAGCTGATTGGCGCCAACACTAGCTGGTCAATCACTCGGGCGGGCGATGAGATCGGTTGCCACTATGCTCCAGGAAAGTCCTGGTAATCCGGATGTGATAGCTCTTATTGTGAAGCCAGATTCCTTTGTCTCTGGGGAGTTGTTGATGATGCAGATGGCTGCGTGTAAGAGTAAGCGCGAGGGGCTGTGCCGCCACGGGAATGCTTCTCAGCTGGCGGCGTCTAAGGTGACACTACTATAGGGACCGGCAGGCCTGGATTGCTATAGTAATGCCTGGCGGGGCCGTTGGTGAGATTGCAGGTGAGCTGAGCGTGAATGCGAGCGAATAAGCTTCGTAATACAGCAGCTCAAATGACTGAGCGAGTTGGAACGAGTGAATGCGGACGGTAGGTTAAATGAGATGAGCGAAGCAAGATATTCCAGCGCCTGCTCACGGCCACAGCACTGACAGACGACCAAGCGTCCGGTCCAAGGCCCGCGTTGGCTCTTCTCTCATTGGGCAGTGGAACGGATTCACTTGCTATTTATTACCGGCTCCGTTTCAGCGCCCAAATTTAAATTTAGTTGAACCGCAGGGAGCCCCCGCCACGAATCATCGCCCCCAAGGACCCTTCATCTTTGCGTGCGTATGTTGCGACAAAGGCCAGCCCTGGAGCTAAGCCCGTCTATGTAAGCGGCGCTTATACATCATGTATGGGGTAGATCCGTGTTATACTAGCTGCCCGTTTGGGTACCTTGCGTATGAGTAGGTGGATAGAGAAATACAGAGGTTCATCACCAAAGGGACGTGATAACATGTATTACCGGCACACGACATCGTCAAGTGTCACTGTACAGTTGGGTCGCTTTATTAAACATTGAGTTTTTCATTTCTACCCTCGTCTGTCTCTCTTCTTCTTTCTCATCTTTCTTTTCTTCTGCTCATCCTTTTCTCTCGCTCTTCGCGAGTGTCTCTGCTGCTAGTCTATGGAATATTGTAAGGGCTCCTGTCATATGCTTCTTTTACTACACGCTCTCGTATCCTCCTTTTGCTTTTGTTTTTTCCCTGCAAGCTGGCAACAAGACCATCTTCGCACGCATTGTACTGCGGCGGATATTAATGGGAGAGAAGCAAGAGAACAAACAAGGGTCTGCCATGCTATGCACTGAAAATCACTGATCAAGATATTCCAAGAATTGGGTGCTAACACAACCAAATTTGTCATATACCAAGCAGAAATATTCATGGGCAGGCTAGACAAAGGGAAAGACGTGCTGAGCCATCTCACCCTACTAACAAGCGGTCCTTGGGATGCAGTCACGATCATATGGAACTGGGCTTGATCGCGGGTCTGTTAGTTAGAGGGCTATGAAATCTTTTTGGTCCTCGAAATCGGACAAGTCAGACTCCGCGTCGAGAAACTCGGCCACTTCGTCTGAGTCGACATCGTCAGAGTCCGCAGCCTCCTCTTCGCTAGATACGTCTTCTTCCATGGCATTATCCTGGCTTGCTTGCCCACGGAGGACGCTTGCCCTCTCACGGTGGAGAAGCTTGCATCCTTTCGTGTTACAGCGGCCAGTGTTGCTAAAGTCGGGACACTCAAAGACATGGCGCTCTGAGCAGTTTGCTCCTTTATCGCAGTAGCCGAGGAATCCAAAGGATTTGCAAACTGGGGCACCTGGTGGTGCGCTAGAGTGAGTAAATGGACAATCAGGTTTGGCACAGTGGCCCTTGGCAAAGTGTAAACAATCAGGTACACGCTCGGGAGTAAGCTCGTGAGAAAGATCGCAGGAATTGCCTTGGCTGCACTTCCCTTCTTTGAGGAAGTCTCTGCATACCGCCACCTTGTTGGGGTCGTGAATGAATCGACACCGGGGCCCCTTCGGACAAGAACCTAGGCACAATGTGTCAGTAACGGAGTGATACATACCCAAAGAAGACCACATTCCCAGGGCTATCTTATGGTCGCACTAAGGAGAATTCAAAATTACCGGACGCAGAGAACATCTTGCATGGCTCGTTGACCTTTTTCACGGTTCCTGACCGTCTACTTCAAGTCAGTAAGAGAGCTCGGCCTGAGGAAACAACATACCGGTGGTCTTTCACAATCCTATTTGCGACGAGGTTGCCTGTCTTGGTTCGGTGAAACTTTACTCCTGCCACTATGGTGCTTTTAGGTGTTTTTGCAAGGTCATTTGACCCATCTGAAAGCAGTCAGCGAGTAAAGTAATGAGGGAGGGCATGTGTACGGACCGATGATTTTAGCCAGCTTCTTTCCACCATCAAGGACTCGGAATCGGATATCCGCAATAATTATTTCATTGTTGGCTGCGCGCGTAGCATTAGAGTTACCACCAGTATTGGCATGCGCATCCTGTTGTTGGGTCAAGAAGTCATGGAAGCGAGCCTTTTCCCCGCGACGATGCTCGTCTTGTTTGCGCTGTCTCGTTTGTTCGATGGCCTTGGCTCGGTTCTGGCTCTCCTTCTCGTACACATTCGCGTTGATGATCTGGCGGTGACGGTCGTTCTTTGTCACCCAGCGCGCGCTGTCCGAGCCCCCACTATCAGTATCATTGTTACTGGAATTCCCTAGAGCGTTAAGATGAAGGGTTCGATGTTGATGGGGGCGAGGCCGCTGGACACGGTTCCCTCTTGTTGGGTAAGGCGCGCCAGCACTTCGATGGTAGTGGTGTCCTGAAGTCATTCTCGTTAACATACTTCGCGCCACAGCTGTTGTACTACAGGAGGCCAAACGTACTGTTATGGTAGGTAGGGTGAGCGACAGACTGTACGCCAGCCTGCTGGTTTTTGTGGCGATTGATCTGGCCTGATTAGAGAAAATAGTGAGAATCGTAGAAAAAACAACGTCGTCGCGGGACGACGTCATGGTAGGTGTGGGTTGAGTCAAACCGGCAAGTCGCCCGATGCGGGCCAAGAGTTCCTTTTCTTCGTCGGTCATATTGGGGCTATGTAGAAACGTGCTTTGAATCGCTATTGGGTGTCGGATCGGTCAGAAATGAGGTTGGAAGAATGTGAAGTGATGATCCCGTGCAGGTGTGATGAATAAGAGAAGTCGTGGGGCACTCGCCGAAGCGTGTGTTGCTTTAATTATAGGCTAACCTGTTTTAGGGCAGGTGGTTTGTTCTAGGGTAGGTGGGTGGGGCTCCGGCTTCTACTGGAGGTGCTTTACTCAAAACACCAACGCCAGCAGCCTTGCCAATTGTTTGAAAAGACAATGAAAGATACCTGAACTTCTAAATTGCACCGCAATCCATCGAAACCTTACCCATTTCGCAGCTTACCTTGAGTCTCACGCTTGTTCTGACTTATTTTTAAACACCTATATTTACAAGCAACCATCGAACCGCATTTCTTTCTCAACCAACGCCCACCAGCAGCACACCATGGCCGACTGGGGCCTCCTCGACGAGAAAGCTGAAGCTGAGCTTCACAAAGCTCGTCTTCTTAACATCGAAGAAAAGCCATTCAAGCGCTGCGTCCGTCGCCTGGCTACTATCACAGACGTCGTCTCCTCCAACATCCCCCTAAAGAACACCGAGCCAACCGCCGACGCCAACGGCAAACCCAGCGCAAAACCAGATATCCAGCTGCTAAAGGAAGGCATCACCATTGACTTTGCCGCCTTCGACAGTTCGCTCCTCCGCTTTCAATTTCTCCACGACTCCAATGCGCGCGAGCGCGAGCGCTACAAGGCCGACCAGGAGCGGATCCTGCTCGAGTGCCAGGCAGTAAGGGAGAAAAACACAGAGCTGCGCGTGGAGCTGGAAGGGGCGCGCGCTACGCTGGAGCAGCGCAAGCAGTTCGACGCGATGGCGGATAAGATAACATCCAACCGGCTCCTGAGGCCGCGCGAGGATCAGCTGGCCAACCTGGCCAAGCTAGAAGATGAATGCAGGGAGCTGGAGCGCGAGAGCGAGACGTACAGCGCCACGTGGACGGAGCGAAGAGCACAGTTCAACAGAATCATCGAAGAGGGCATGTTGCTGCGACGACAGATCAGAGATGAGAAGGAGGAGGTGGACAGACGCGAGGGCATGAACGAAGGGGGCGATGATGAGGTCTCTGGACAGACGCCACGACCAGATCGAAGTCGCAGCCCGTCACCCACGGGCGAGGGCGCGGAACAGGCGAAGAGCAATGCAGAAGGGGAGACGCCACAACCTCCGGGCTCCAACGTCGGCACTCCGCTTCGTGACAGCCCGGCGCCCTCTCACTTACATCCTGGAGCTGGCTCACGGCGCAGTCTTTCTCGGGCTGGAAGTCGGGATGTCACACCACTGCCCCTAGAGGAAGGGGAAGACGAAGAAATGGAGGATCAGGATCAGAAGGACTCCAGAGAGGTTACGGAAGTTGAGACTCCCCGTATTCATATCGAGGCCGCTGGGGATAAGATGGACGTGGACAATTAGTCCAGGCGGTTGAAAGAAAATTGTACAGGAGGATACCCATGATATTTTAGAGCAATAATACTTAACACCAAGGCATGAAGCCTAACAACGCCAAAACCAAGTACAAAAAGACGCGTGCATAGGTCCTGCGGTATCCTCCTCTGGTATGTATGACTTGAGGTGTCACATTATTGACACCAATGCCCCTTCTGATAAACAACTCTAATTATGTACCATCCCGGCTTCTCCTCGATAATCAGAATGTAGCCTCGTTCTGCGCTTCCTTAGCCTTTCCCAGCGCATCCTTGGCGTTCTGAAGCTCGGTCTCAGAAGCTGCACCATCCGCAGCGAGCGCTACCTGATCCTCCAGCTTCGCAACGGCGTCGGCGAGTCTCTTGCGGAGAGGGTCGAACACGGCCTTGGTTTCGTCGACGGCAAGTTTCTAAAAGAGAGTTCGCACTATAGTTAGCCTCAAGACCCTTGAAAGCATCCACGCCGTTGTACCGAGTGGTTTCGATTTGGAGGGGCGGGGAGGAGGGGGAGGGGTAGCTCAACCTGCTGCTTCAACATGTACTCGTCGTTGCCATCCTCGCTTCCCTGGCCGCTGGCAATCTTGTCCTCCAGAGATTTTACCTTCTTCTCCTGGTCGACGAGCTCTTTGTGGTACGAGTTTTCCTCCTTTACTAGGCGGAGGACGGCGCCAGTCGCGATAACGAGGGGTGAAGGTGCGGGCATATTGAACGTGGAGCTCGGGGTATCGGCAGAGTCTGTCGTATCGGTCCGTCGATCAAATTATCTCAGGGATCGGTCGCGTGAGAAGAACGTTGAGAGGAACCTGGCCTCGGATCTGTTGGGTGCCTGGTGTATTAAAGGTACGAAATTTATTTTGCTGCCTACGACGTGTTTGCGCAGGCAGTAACAAATGAGATCATCGCTCAGCGTGGGGTGAAGCCCCTCCACCAAAAGTCACGCCAAAACAAAGCTGCCTGCATAGCTTGAGTTAGCATCAAAACCTCACCATACACAACCGAAAGAGGTCCCCGGCAGTCACTGGCATTTGTCGACATTCATATATGAAACTATATATTTCATTGTGTAAGCTATGTACATATGTAAGGGCAAAAGTGCCAAACAGTCGTCATCCATCCATCTCTGAGTCCGAGCCTCCGACTCCCAAGCAAGCAGAGTAGCAGAGCGAGCAACTAATCCATTTTTCCAGTCCCTATACTTTCCAACCAGAAAACCCCAATGGTATCTTCAAAACTCCTCCAACGCCCAAGAGACGCCTAAACGATGAAAGCACCAACCGAGAATGCGCAGATTCGGCGGAGCGTAGTCTACAGTAGCCAACATGATTTCTGAACAATCCGATGTCCAATATAAAACAGCCTGTCCGCCCCAAAATGAGAGAAAAAAAAGGTCTACGAATTGCATACATCATCATGCTTCCACGGCTACCACAGGGGCACTGGTTGGTGCCACATGCTGTTGTTGCTCCTCCTCCTCTTCTTGGTGTGCGATTTCGCCGCCAGCCTCACGCTCGGCCCAGGCTCCCCATAGACCACGCTTTCCACGAACCCGAATTGGAGCGCCAAGATCGGGTCCCTGCTCGACTTTGATGGCATCTTTCGTCGCGAGGACGAGGCACTCGAAAAACATCTTGGTGGCCTCTGCTTTGGTTGCCCGCTTTTCGGGGATCAAGTCCTGGAAAACGACGGAAGACTGTTTTCGCTTCTCCTCATCAGTAGCAGCCTCGGAGCCGAACAGGTCGCGGAGAATGTGGACGGCGTGCTTAGTGCCTAGGGAAACAGGGCCGCTATCTGCAGGGTGCACCAATGGTGCTGTCGTCTCATCGAAGCCAGGCAGAACTGATTCATCATCTCCTCCAAGCATATGGCCATCATCACCAGGAATCTCAAGAATGGTGCCATCGGCAGCCATACTCTGGTTACCAAATTCCCTACCACCAAGGGCTGCCTCAGTATCATCCCCAAGCTCCAGGCGGGGAGACTTGGGGTTTCCATGATCACTGTCTACATCAGCGATGCCGCTATCGCGCTTGCGCTTAAGCTCAATAGCTCCACGGGCAGCATCGAGCGATAGCATACCGCGAAGTTCAGGAGCCCAGCCGGTTCCACGTCCCTCCAACATGACTGATGATACAAAGCCGCCATGCTTCTGCATGTCCATAAGAGCCAGCAAGAATGGGTCGCTGGGCAAGAATGTGGCGTCTCGCAGGATGTTGGTCCGATCACTCTGCTGCTGCTTGATATGGGAGCTTGACAAGGTGATTTCCTCGTCAGGCATCAGCACCTTTTGCTTCTTGACGCGTTGAGCAGGTCGTCGGACGAGGGTGTGCTCAGCATCCTCGTCGGGTTCGTAAAGATCAGTCTGATGGTGGCTGGTATATTCATCTTCGAGCTCCTTGGCAAAAGCTTCATCAATATCTGAGAGTGGTGACTCCGAAATGCGCTGTCGGTTGATTTCTGGGGCGGTGTGCAATTCCGGCATGGCAGACTGATCGTCTGGGTTGAAGTGGAAGTCGTCGCCCATAGCAATATCACCATCAGTATCAGCAATTCGCACACCATCATCAATGGTATGGTCTCCCTCTGCGCCATCTTTCAGTCTCATACCACCATCCAATTCGCTGAAAATGTCATCGTCGACAGGGCGAGCCTCAGGGGCATCTCGACCAATTTCAATGCTCTGGGAGAGGTCGTCATTGTCGAGGCCAAAATCCAGGTCGAGGTCCAGACCGTCAATGTCGAGTGCATCCTCCTCAGGCGCAGAGGCTCCCTGCAAGAATTGGCTGTTGTCGAAATCTTCCTGCAGATTAATTTCGCGGTTGCTGACGCGACCTTTGCGACCAACAACGTGGGTGGCAACATCGTCAGTCTGTGAGAGGAGCCAGGATGCGTCCGGGGGAGGTGGGAGGTCCAGGTTGTCGTAGGGCGTGATACGATCAGGAAGTAGCAGAGCTTCACGGTTAGGAACCTGAAGAGCTGCTGCCAAGTCATTGTTTCCAGTTGATCGGAAGGCCTAACACGGTTAGCAAATGACACTATCAATCAACCCGTCCCAGACGCGATAGCGAAGACGTGATTCTTACCATTTTGATCTTCATCATGGCTTCATTACAGTCGTCCAACAGATAGCGCGTCTTGCGCTGGTATATTCTGACAACACCAATCAAAAGCTGTGAGCTAAGGCGAAGCGCCATTGGCGCTTGGTGAGGCTGCATGATGGCGTCTACACTGTCGGCGACATTGGATTGTAAAATATGATTCTTGGACAGCTTGCGCTCCATATTCGCTGAGAGCCAGACGCGGGCCAGAGGCCCGCTCTTCTGGAGGAGCGTCTCTGAGTAGAACATGATGCCGGAGCGTGGCGCCGGCGCACCGGAATCTCGAGGGGAGGCAGCCGGTAATCGAACAGCTCACAAATGAGCGAGTAGAGAAAAGCCAGATGTGGCGATGCGAAGCTCAAGCGCGCGTGGTGGTTGCGGGATCGAACACGAGGTGTAGGTTGGAGATGCGGGTGAGACGTCCGCACAGTGGCAGATAAACAAGGCCTAGGGAAGAGCGCGTTCCAAAGTGGGTCAAGCACCCGACAATAAGTAAACAGCTTGCTGGCAGAAAAGCGACTGCACGGATAGCAAACTTGATTACAAATAGCGGCAGAGCGAGAAAATACAATCGCCGGTGCGAGATGCGCGCGATCGTGAGCGAGAGAACGGTGGTCGACAGCCGGTGAGAATGCAAGGTGCAAGCGCTAGAAGATGCGAAGGTAGCTGGGTGCGTGGGAATGGGAAATTTCGACTGGAGCAAATGGAGGGGACGGCTGCCTTGACCTTGTTTGACGAGGTGCGACTGCTAAATGGCGTGGCTGGGGGATCCGTGGCTCAGGCATGAGTTGTGGGTCCTTCAGGTTGTCCAGGTGTTGGCGAGGTAGCAGGAGTGGATCCAACCCCTGTAGGTGAACGGAAAAGCCTCCTGCCGGCTCCGGTCATGGTGAACGAAAACGGGACGTGCCCCTTACCTAATGCAAAAAGGAGGTCAGCGCTTTGTCTGAGTGGTGGGGGATTGACGACCAATTTGAGACACGGTTACCCGTTGCAAGGGTCTAGTGTGGTGTGAATGGCCTGTCTGGAGACTACAGACTCTATTGACTACAGGTACTGTCCCCAGGCCAGGAGAGGGATCGGATACCAATATGCCGAGCCTTGACATTTGGTGCTCTCTTACCCAAAGGGCTCAATCTATCGCATTATGAGTCGCGTGCAGGCGCACATAGCCTAGCAAGAAGTAGGACATGTAATTCTTCATTATTGTTCCATTTCCCTCCCATTCACTCGCCGATACTTCACGATCGGAATGATTACCGTTGCGCTCCTCCAGCAAGGCTTGGCTCTCCTATCGAATCAGATTTCATGAATCAAATAGGACACTAGTAGGTATTAGTAGTGGATACCGTCCTCTAGGTCCGCTGAGTGATCAGATCCAGGATTAATTGAACGCGCTGTAATTGAAAGTTCGCACTGGCCTGTAATGCATGCCACCCTGTACCTCCAAGCCACAGCACCCCTGGGAGCTGGCTTAAAACAACTTAGCGCATTGGTTATGGAGTCGCCTCTATTCTCTATTCCAGGTAGAATGACACGCTTGCTCTTTTTCCATCATTGAGCAACCTCATAATTAGGCATTGCTATCAAATCGGCGGCAGGCGTATTTTTTTTTTTAGCCAAAGGGTCGCGCTTCACACCTTCTATTCTATTTCCACTCATTCCCTTCGTTCATACCGTTACCCTGAACTTGTTGTAATAATACTTCTGTTCCGACTCGACCACGACCTGACGTAACGAATCGCACCCTTTTTCAATCTGTCGCTTCGAATCTCAACCGCCTTATTGTCCATGCCTCGGTCATAAATTCGTCCTATAACATCGCATTCGATAATACGATGCAGCTCCCATGGCCAGGGCGTGGAAGCGCTCCCGCGGATGGTCTTCTCCCGACAGCGAAGGACGTCCCGACCATATCAGGGCCGTCCTTTGACTTTCAAGACGGCGAGAAGCCCACGACGAGGCCTCGTCATGTTCGGACAACATCTTCAGCGGCCCGTGTAAGTTCTCTGTCGGAGTCCCCATAGATTTCCTATCCCCTCTATGGCCTATCGTCTAACTGGCAGAGATAGAATGCGGCCGACGAGTACTCCTACATGACACCAAGCGAAGCAGCCGCCCAATTGCGAACCTCCCTTACCCAGGGCCTCCATCCGAACGAAGCCGTGAAGCGACTCAACGAATATGGCCCTAACGAAATACCGCACGAGGAGCCGGAGCCAATATGGCTACGGTTTTTGAAACAATTCCAGGAGCCCCTTATTGTTCTGCTTCTGGTATCTGCCGGGACCTCTCTCCTCCTAGGGAATATGGACGATGCGGTTAGTATCGCGGTCGCTGTAACTATCGTCGTTTCAGTTGGATTTGTCCAAGAGTATCGATCAGAGAAGTCTATCGAGGCCCTGAACCACCTTGTCCCCAACCATGCACATCTCGTTCGAGGACCGGGCAGCCGCTCCCTCAACACTGCAAGGACGTCGTCCTGGCCACCGCCGGATCAAAGTGTCCAGGATATTTCGGTAACTCCCGGTTCTCAGACACCTGTGGAAGAAGTGCTGGAGGCATCATCATTAAAAGTCATGGCGTCTCAACTGGTTCCTGGGGACTTGGT